ACAGTTGGTGCCTTTCGCTTTGGCTGTGACTTTTTAAATTCATAACCGAGGCTGAGCAAAGGATCGAGATTTTGCTTTGTTGTCGCTTCACATACAAAATGTTCACTGCAAACTCAGAATGATTTAGTCAAATGTTTCCTTTTTGGTTCTTCCTGTGGATCAATCCTGCCCATCACCTTCACCTTTCACTATTTTTCAATTCTGTTGGGAAGAGAAGAGTGATGTGTGGGCCTTGTATTTGTCGCTGAAGTGGTTTTTAGATTGAGTCGGCATTTTTTTTAAACAAATTGAACAAATTGAACGAATAACAAATTGAAAAATAGTGAAAGGTTACAGAAACCATTTGATTGCAGAGTTTGCCTCAAAACTTGTGCAACAAAATATTACGTTAAGGAAACCATCATTTGTGTCCAGGCCAGTTTCAGTATTTTGTTTTTTCTAATAATTCTGTTTAACCACAGTTGAAAAACAATGTTTGATTTTCATTGGACAATTTTCAGTAAATTTTTAATTTATTATTGCTTTTATCAGTTTCAAGTTATTTCAGTGATGATGGTCAATTTTTCTTTGATTGCCAGTGGAGTACCAACAATTTTGTCCATGACTGTAAATAAATACAAACTAAACTTAGGATTCATGAGTTTAATCTGACTTTTTACAGATAAAAAACAAAAAAATACCAAATCTTCAGCTAATGCATTCATACAATATCTTCTCCTTTTTGCTTTTGTCCCATATAAATCCTTTATAATCTAAAGGACTTTTGTTAATATGCAGAGTTTTATTCTCATAAATGGTCTTAGAATACAAATGATACAGTTTAACAGTTGTGAATTTTGGGTATTTCTTATTAAAATAACATTTAATAAACAGGGAAAACAGGCGTGTAAAACCAGGAGTATTAATATTTGATAGAATAAGATCTCTTAGATTCAGGATAAATAATATATAAACATTATAAATATATAATAATATAATAATCCTGAAACTTCTAACTGGTTTCTATTGTGATGAATCTTGAAGCCGGAAAGAAGCTGAACTCTTTTCCTCAGTGTTTTAATATTTATTCCGTCTTATTAACACAGTTAAATGACTTTCAATATTAATTTGTTTAACACAAACAGACTTTAAATAAACACATATACAGTGTCCAGGGTTTGACCTCTTCTCCAAAGCACGTTTTTACCAGCAGAGGATTGGCTGGAGACGTCTCCGTCAAAAAGACCAAGACAAGATGGTCACAGAACATTAGAAATTACTTCATCTCAAAGTTTGGATAAAAATAGATTCAATTGGATTGGATCGGACAGCCCTAACCCAGTGCTTTTGTCTGTTAGTTTTATAATCTTTGACACCCGAGGATCATTATGTTTTAGGTTGGACATTTTAAATTGAAATATTGATCTAAAACAACTTTAAAACAAACACGGCTGGTGACTTCTGCGTTACAAAACTGTGGTGTTCACTTTGAGTAAAAGTGTAAACCTGATCCCAACAAAGCACCACACGCTGTCGGCTCCTCCTGTGGAGAGCCGCACATCACACGAGAGAGTAGAAAAAAATGACGATCAGCTGATCAGCACAACATCACATGACGTCAGGAAGAGATGAAACTGTCAAAGTTAAACAGAGTTCATAAGAATCATCACATCAGAAATCTCAAAGAACCAAAACAGACTGACAGTGTTTTGTGTTTATCTTAAAGGGGACAGCTCTATTCTATCCAGTACTGTATTTTTTGAACTATAAGTTGCACTTTTTTTTATGGTTTGGGTGTTTCCTGCAACTTATATTTCAGTGCGACTTATATGTAAAAATTTTCACAACGACAGCATTGAGAGGCTCTAGTCTTGTGTGTGAGTATCTGCTGCTCCTGTTCCTCCTGTACCACTGTCACTTGGCTCTACTGCACATGTCTCCTGCAGAAAAAGCTGTTGTCCTGCTGCAAGTCATGAATTTTCAGCCGAAAACGGTATTTGAGCAGCAGAAAGAAAGTTTGGAGTGAGCGAGAAACTTGTGAGGGACTGGAGGAAAGCGGGAGAACACAGCTTCACCATAACCAGTAACCAGGAGGATGCACCATGAAACTTTCCTGAAGTCACTGGATGGATGGACAAAGTCTGGACTTCAGTGACACTGAAACCATCCTGTCGGGATTCAGAAAGACCAGAATAATTAACTGGAACTGATGCTGAGTCTGACGACAGCGACACAGAAGAGGAAGTGACGCTCTGTTTACCTCCGGGAGGTCGAGTTGTTCAGAAGTGACACCGAGGATGAAGAATTGAATGGATTTAGTGATTTGGAGTGAGATGGAGAATTTGTTAATCTTGTTCTGTTCTGTTGTTTATGTTATAGTTTATCTGAAGAACTGTTCATAGAGCAGATGCTGCTAATCTGACATTCATTTATTATGGTAAGAATAATAAAATGCAAGGTCATTTACACATTAGCAATTTGAATATTAGTATTAAAGCTGTACTATGTAACTTTTCTGCTGGGAGCGATAAGTATTAGATCAGTATGGCATTAAATTTGCCTATCTCCTTGGAGACAAGCCAGTGCCAGGCCATGTTTACAGGTCAGATCTATGGAGAGGTGACCCCACTCACGATAAGAATTTATGTTTATTTCAAGGTATTTTTTGAGCAATAAAAACACCCAAAATAAAATTAAGGTTATATAAATAAGTTTAATGCTCTACTGCTGAATATTTCAGGCAAAGCAATCAAATCTCCATGGTAACAAGCAGGCGTAACGTCCATAACAATACTGCATTAAAGAAACTTAAATCAGCTTCAGCTTTTATATACAAAGCCTTAAATGCAAGTCATTTGTGTAGTTAGTAGTTTTTCTATGCGTACTTTATACTTTTACTCAAGTACAAGTTTCACAGTAGTATTTGTAACTGAGTAGATAGTTTTTCTATGTAACTGTACTTTTACTCACAGATTTTCAGTCGTCTTTTCACCATTTGAATCAGGAAACTTAAAGGAAGACTGAAGATCTGATTGAACCATTGAATCTACAGGCTAAAGAAAGAGAACTTAAAACTAAAGGTCGTCACAGGTAGAACTGCACAGGTCTTCTTATGTCCCAATTTCAAATTGTCAGTGATAGATTATAGAGATGCAGTATCCTTGTAATTATGATGACCAAAAAAAAGAGAATAAAACTTCATCAACTCTGGACGTGGTGGGGCTAAACATTCGCCAATAGATAACGACACTGCCTCGTTATCTGTGAGCTGACAGGCTGTCAATCAAACTCCCTGCGTTTCTAGCGTAACTGACTTGCCTGCGCCGCCGGTACGTGGTTTACGTACGACTGTCACGCAGTCCACAGACGCACAGACGCTGTTTACTCCACCAACGCAACGGTTCTTAGCGGCTTTTTTTGACCTATATCTTCCTCGCAGTTCGCACAAAGTTTGTTGCAATGGCGACAAGAATCCAGGAGCAGTTCGCCGCAAAAGAAAGTCAGTTTTTGAGGTCGCTGAAAGAAGAAGACAAGGGGAAAAGCAGCGAAGCCAAACTAAGGTGATTCTTGTAGATTCATTCCAGCGATGGCGCGACTGAAGCAGACGCAGGGTCTAAAGACTGACGCACTGGTCCACAAATTACTCCTGGACAGGAAACTTCTGCTTATTATGAAAACGTACTTTATTTCCAAGAGCTACACAAACGTTTTTCAGGACACGAAAGCGATATCCTATGTCTGAAAACGTAATTTTCAAGGCAAAGAAAGAGTCCGCTTGCAGCTGCGTGTTGTAGCTAGTTCATTCGCACTGAATCTCCGCGCACTCTTCTCTGCACCCCTTTCCTGCTCCTCTCCCCGCTGCCCGATCCGCTCTTCCCCCTGCTCCTCACTTCTCCGGGCACGGAATCTCCACGCACTGCTCCCCTCTCCTCTCTCCTCTCTCCCTGCTCCGCTCTTCTCCCCGCTCCTCACTTCTCCGTCTTGCCTAACCAACACTGTAGTTAGTTGTTTACAAGTCATGTGCAGTTCACCGGCTGTAAACAAACCTGTTTCTGGCATAAGGAGGAGGCGGGAGGAGGCGTTTCTGGGGGGTGGTTTCACGCATGCGCAACATTTGAAAAAGGACAAACAGTCGCTGGATTTCTCGTTCCTTGGAAAATCCTCTATACAACCTTTAAACCACAAGTGAAACAAAAAGAGCAGTTCTCATGCATCATAGGCCAAATGTGGTTTGAGTTCACAGTAGTTTCTATGTGAACCATGAAGTTGGTAGCAGTGGTACGACAAGAGGAAGTTCAAATATGTTCACACGACAATAACAGGAACAAAACAGGCGACAATGAGAAATATTACACTTGTACACTGGCCATTCGTAATAGCAGTATTTCTGACTAGTTAGCAGTAGGTCGACTAGTGGACAAGCTTTTGTACTTGGATCACTGGGTGTAGGGCCTAGTGCTTTTCACAACAGTGTCTCTGTCGCTCCAGTATTAAAATGAAACATGAGCCATATTTATAACCTTGATCTCCATCAGAGAGAAAGAAACACCACCAACATCAAGCTGCAAGATATGTTTTAATTTAACAATTCACAATTAAAATTTGTATTAAAAAACCCAAATCATGTGTAGATTTATCAAATATAGAAAAACTTTTGACTTTTTGCATATTTCTGCAGAATTATCACAGTTCCCTCATAAAGTGAACTGTAAAAGCAAAACTTTGACAAAAATCAGATCACTGCACACTGTCTTTATCTCATTATAAAACATTTATCATTCACAAACTCACAATAAAGAGTCATGTGTCTCACTACATTAACACTTGAGGTGAGAGCTTGGTGCTCCACTCTGCTTTTTAAGAAATACAAACAAGTTTCTCTACTTTCTCCTTTCATGGTTTGAGGCACTAGAGTTTCCATGTTTATTTCTCGTTATATTAGTTATATTGGCTTCTTTCTGACAGAAAACTTTATCCATAACTATCAAAAATACTACCAAAGTTTCTCCTACTTGTTTGTATTACACAATCTCTTCTTCCATGTGCTCAAGTAAAGGTTCCGACTCAGACTCACAAGGGTCACGAGGAGGTACATCAAGCTGTCCCTGTCTCAGAGGGAGGCACTGGGCTGTTCCAGAGGCTGTTCCAGAGGCTGTTCCAGAGGCTGTTCCAGAGGCTGTTCCAGAGGGGGGCCCTGGGGGAGTTGGAGGTCTGATGATTTCGTCTCCGACAGTGAAGCATTTTGCCCAATCTTGTGTTTTCATGAGTTCGTTCAGTTTGATCTTCATCTCCTCTTTGGCCTTCTTCCTCAGTTCATCAGAAACAATCTTCTCTTCCTCCTCCAAAACTATCTCTCGCCAGTCCCCTCCTCGTGCCCACTCACAGGTGTTATGGAAACATGATGCAACAAATGCTAAAATGAATAAACCCAGGAGAAAAAACAGACCGATCACCTGAAAGAGATGATACAGACAATGAGAGCAGTTCTTCACATATAAACTTAAGCTACAGAGAAACTCACCCTGGATTCATCTTTGGTCTCTCTGAGAATGATGGTTTCATTCTTTGTGCGCAGGCTTTCGTTCTTACAGGAGATCTCGTGGACTACTGTGTTAAAGCAGCAGGCACTCCAGTCTCCGTCTATGAGAACTGAGACGAGCCAAATACAACTCACAAAAACCGCACTGCACAAATGTGAAAAGATGAAACAGAAGCAGCTCCAGGAGCAGCTACAGGAGCAGCCTCGACAGCTCCTCTGACAGGCTCTGTCCATCCACAGCTGAGCCATCAGGATTATTAAAAATGGCAGAAGCATGTACAATATGCAGTCTAGGACCGCATGGCCGCAGGTGCAGGGCAGGTCTTTCTCAAAGATGAAGTGGTAGCTAAAAGCCAAGATGACCACTGCATACAGATTTATGCGCTGTTGAAAATACCGGACCAGCTGACCCACCACATCGTGCTCCATCCTCAGCCTTCTCTCAGAATGATGTCTGATGGTGTTTTGCGGTTGTATAAAGCTTGTATATACATGAGGACATCCCTGCTGGTATTTCCTGTCAAACATGTTGTCCATTCCAATTCAGATTCCAGATTTGATTGTCATTGTCATTGAAAGCTGTTTAGAGCATCAAACACTGCATAATTTTAATGTAAAGTGCAATGACAAAGGTGAAAACCTCCATAAATAACCCTATAAAAAACCCTATATATATAAGATCAGTTTTAAAGTGCATCTCAGGGACATACAGTCATATATGTGGAGTTTAATGTCATTATGCAACAATGCAAAGTCCAGTTCAGTGTGACTGTGTTGGAGGTGTGGTTATCGTCCAAGGGAAAGGGGCAGAGAGGATACAGGCTTTATGTCACACTGGTGGTTCTGGCCTGTATGGACCTGCACCTGCATTCCACTCTGTAGATCTATACAAGATTTTACTCCAAGAAATTTGCTCCTTTAATTGGTGGCTCGCCAAGTTTATACCAAAAATAATAACACAGCCAATATATTTTTTCAAATGTGCAGATAAACAAATAGTGAACACCGCAACACCAACATCTGCATCACACTGAGTATAAATCAAGGCTCAATTAATGGTGTTTCCTAAAGGGGGCGCCGTGACACCAGCAAACAGTGATGCACGGGTCCATGTATAAACGACGCGAACCCACCGACGCTTTCAACTAACTCACCACCACTCCCACCGACCCACTGCCTGAGCCGCATTTTAAAAAGTAGAACACGCTCTTGATTCAGATCATCGAAATAAAGTGACCGACATAAATAAAGTGTCCAACATAAATATAGAGTCCAACATTATTTATGTTTAAGTGACAAATTCAAATAAAGTGACCAACATAAATAAAGTGTCCAACATAAATAAAGTATTTTAAGTGGAGAGGGAAGTCTGGGATGCCCTGCTCAGACTGTTGCCCCCGCGACCCGACCTCGGATAAGCGGAAGAAAATGGATGGATGGATAAATAAAGTGACAAATTTAAATTAAGTGGCAAATTTAAGTAAAGTGACCAACATAAATAAAGTGACAAATTTAAATAAAGTGACAAATTTAAATAAAGTGACAAATTTAAATAAAGTGACAAATTTAAGTAAAGTGACCAACATAAATAAAGTGACAAATTTAAATAAAGTGACAAATTTAAATTAAGTGGCAAATTTAAGTAAAGTGACCAACATAAATAAAGTGACAAATTTAAATTAAGTGACAAATTTAAGTAAAGTGACCAACATAAATAAAGTGACAAATTTAAATAAAGTGACAAATTGAAATAAAGTGACAAATTGAAATAAAGTGACAAATTGAAATAAAATGATCAGCATAAATAAAGTGATGTATTTAAATAAAGTGATCAACATAAATAAAGTGACAAATTTAAATAAAGTGACAAATTTAAATAAAGTGACTGACATAAATAAAGTGACAAATTTAAATAAAGTGAAATAAAGTTGCCAAAAGTCGCCAAAATCGCCACTAACATCACACAATACTGCTCACTACCCAACAGCTTTAAGAAATATCGGTGCATCTTTTATACTGTAGCAGTTTAGCGCTTGTCAAACCACAGAAGTGCGCTGAACACTCTGAAGCATCTGAACCAATCGCAGAGCGGAACATTCGCTGAGCCAATGAAATGTTTCGATACACTGAAGCGATCGACACGCAGAGCGAAGCAGCAGGGGGAGGGACCAACACTTCCACACTTTGGTCACGTGAGCGGCTGCTGCGAGACGAGCTCCGAGAACAGTGCTTCAGAGCAATTTGTTTCAGAAAGAACGAGACGTGCTCCGGAGCTCCGTCTCATTTGACCATCACTAGATCTCACCAAGCGGGAGGAGGTACAAGGCAAATGGCCACGAGCCAAGAACTGAACTCTGGGGAACTCCACTGTCCAGAGGAGGAGAGGTTGAGGCGGAGTCTCCCAGCCTTACAGTGAAGGAGCGCCCAGACACGTATGACCTAAACCAGTCCAGGTCAGTCCCCCTGACACCCACACACTCTTCAAGATATTTTAAAAGAGTTGCATCGTTGTTTAAAGTCTGTGGCACCTGCTGACAGTGTCGTGCCAGTTCACACTTTTCATGAACTAGTTCAAAGTTCAGTTCACACATGTTCAAAGTGAACAGTTCACGTTCATAGTTCACAATTTAAATTTAGAACTAGTTCAAAGTTCAGTTAATTTAATTTGTAGGTGAGATATGTAAAGGCTTATTGTTATTCGTGGTTATTTTTCAAACTGACTTCCAGTTTACAACAACTTTACAAGATATTAACCATAAACACTCTAGAGCCACATCAGCCTGTTTGACATTATAATGTGTTTAATTCAGCTTTGACACATTTGTTTACGTTTTACAGAAATTAAACTTAAAACCGCATGGCTAATTTGCATAAATTGTAAACGTTGGAAAAAAGCAGCTTTTTCTTTGCACGCTGATGCATCAGCTTTTGTTGGATTAAAGGGCACGACCGTATGTGTTCTTTCTGTGACAGAGGGACGTCACTGCAACTTTTGGATGCGTAATTTGAAGAATGCATGGAAAGTGAATGAGGGCGGCTCCACTGCACGCGCTAGATGCGCTTGGAGCAGCACATTCTGCGCCCGTAGATTTCAGAAAACAGGATACATCCTATTTTTTGATGCTTTACACGAACATAGGCGCGTATCCCCATCAAAACACACAGAAAGCATGAATCTATTCTTGTATTTGTGCGTTTACCATCAGCATATCATGTTACCTGTTCAGTTCTGTATCGTGTGAAAGAGCCCAGCTCCACAAAGACTGTTAATTAGTGCTCTGAAATTTACTTTTGAAATGCGTCTGCCATGGTCAGCCTGTACATAAGGTAAATACAAGCGGCTAAACGTGCCCAGTCAAGTTTGATCGACTTTCCCATTGACAAACACAAGAGTCTGTACGTTCCGCTAGAGCTGCCTGTGTGGAGTTAACCTCGCGAAACCACAGTCACGCGTCAACGCGAATGTAAGTGGGAGAAGATCTTGTCACTCGTCAGGTGAAAACAAATTCCGACGTTTAATTGAACCCCAACAGTGACGTTCGTCGTTCATCTCACATAATTTGAACAAATTCACGTTCAAGTTCTTGATTTACAAAAGTGTTGCGCTCAGTTCAAAGTTCACTGAAAAATGAACGTGTTCAATGAACGCGTTCTTTTGAACTTGTTCATGCACAATACTGCCTGCTGAATAAAACAAGGTCACAGAGCATTAAAGACACGTCTTCATGTGGGACGGGGGCGTAGGAATCGTGAAATATGAGGGTGTTTGTCTTGATACAAACTGTACACATAGTTTCACTTTCACCTAAGATGTTTTTGTAATATCGCAACGATTTTGTGTACTGTGGATCAAAGCCAATGAAAAGATCTGATGAACCCTTTTGCTAAAACGATACCTAAAATTTAAGTACTGGACATCAGCCAAGTTGTAATGCATGGTAGGTTAAGCAAACTGACTGTAAAAGGTTAGTAAAGTATCTGAAATACATTCAGTAAGGAGTCATAAGGTAAGTGAATGACAGGTGGACACAAAATAAAGTTTATTATATGAACGGTTGTATTGTAGAATAATCATAAAGGTTTCTGTATTCATAGGTATGCAATAATAATAATAGCCAATACTTATAGCCCTATAGTCCTTATAGAGCTTTGTGTTGCTTTTTTTTTTTTTTTTCTGAAAAGTGCTCTATAAATAAAGTTTGATTGATGATTGAGGGATAATAGATAGGCATGTTTTAGAAATAGTAAATCAGAATAAAGCAAAAAAAAACAGCTTCAGTTAAACGCAGATCAGTCCCATGAGATCACAGAATGTCCATTCGAGTGTTTAGTCCACGTCTGCAGGTATGAACAGGTAGAACTGGAAAGGCAGTAAGATAAAAAAACAGTTCAGTTTCCTCTCAGTGTTGGTGTATTCTTAGCTCGTCATCGCAGTTGACTCACAGTTGAAGATGCCATCACACAGGGAAGGGAGGGGTCAAAGGTCAAAGTAAAAAATACTCACAAATTAATTTGGAGCAACACAGAACAGAGCAGGTCCAGGTTTAGCCTAATCATCTAATTCAGGGGTGCTCAATATGTCGATAGCGATCTACCAGTCGAGCGCCAAGGTCGTGTGGGTAGATCGCCGTGTCTCGTCTCAGACTCGATCGCGTTTGGACTCGGTCTTGTCTCTCACTCGAGGTCTGACACTCAACAAGTGTGATCATATTTCATTCCGGCCGCTGCTGTTGGTAATAAACTTGTAGCGGGTGCAGGAGCGTGTGGGGCGTCTCAGTGCAGCCTGTGCGCTCATTTGAAACCCGCGGAGACTCTACGGCGCATCACAAACACACACGCTCCCTATGCACGGCTCGTCTGCGACAGCGTGTGCCCTCGTGTACCAGCGTGCATCACAGGGCAGGTTCAACTTCCTAAACATCCTACCTGTCCACCTGCCTCACGTCAGCACGCCGCCCCTCGCCTTTTCACGCTCTCGCTCCTTCCTGCGTACAGCGAACACAAGCCCCTCCCACAGTGCGGCTGATTAGAAGAGCAAGACCAAACGTGAAGCAAAAACCAGTCTAAATTTGTGTTCCAGTGTTGGCACAAAGCAGGTCTACAGCATAGAGCGGATCTACAGAACAGACCTACTGCCACATTTGGCTGAAGTTTGTTTAACAAAAGTGACAAATGCATCTGTGTTTGTCACGATGTGCGTTTGGTTTGGTAAACGTGCAGAGGCTGGTAAATATCACTGCAAAACCAGAAAAGAATGAAACTCCAGTTTGGAACTTTAAAAAACAGGTTTTAAAAATCTTCCTTCACTTTTTTCACAGTTTTGTGTAAAGTGCCAGAGGAAGTTCTCTTAAAGAAGAGGTTCTCAAACTGTGGGTGAGGGTCCAAAAAAGGGCACAGAGTGTTTCAGTGCAGTTTGTTTGGCTTTGTAT